TTTGTGCTCGATATTTTTTTTTGCTGGTGTTAGTGATGTTCGATTTTTTTTTCTTCCATTCGAGACATGCTCGATATTTTTTTTCGGATTTGCGCCCCTCCCCCATGAAAAATCAAATGGTCCGTCCCTTACAATCAAACTGACAGTCTGACACTATCTTCTTGATCAACAACCAAACTACCACTTTTCCCTTCATCTACAATCAAACTGACACTATCTTCTTTATCTACAATCAAACTATCCCCATCACCTATCAAACTGACACTATCTTCCTGATCTATAATCTCAATGGCAATATCTTCTACATTTTCTTTTCCTCTACTTAATCTTGCTCTTTTCTTTTCTCATGTTTTGTTTCTTCTTCCTTTTGCTCATTTGTTCCTACCATACTGCTTCCATACTTCTCCTTAGATTGTTTCACTAAAGCCTCATAATTGCAAGCAATTTCTGTGATATATGCTACTGCTTCTTTCACTTTCGCATTGTGTCTATGTCAATAACGATTTCTTATATTAAAATGCTATTTATAAGTAATGATATCTGGTTTAGCCTAAAATATTTTTAAAGGTATTATTTTGCAGTGTGTATTAAAGGGATATTTTTTGTCAAGAGAACAGTTTCGTTAACATTTGTATAGTTGTATTGGAAAAAAATTGCATGCGAGAAGACATATTTAAAAAAAACATGCATACACAGCTGACAACCTGGAAAAAAATGCAAACATAAAAAAAATTACCACTCCCCCCCCCCTCACTTTTCTAATGGTCCGTCCTTACAAGTAATATGCAATGTTGTGGTTTCTTAGCAATCTATTAAAGGTAGCTGTAATTTTTGCTAGTTCCGTAGCATGTTGAAGATTTATTCAAATTGCGTTCATTTCTTACAATATAAGAAGATTCTCAAAAATTGAAGTAAACTTTGATGACGTTATGTCCAACGTCTTAGTTGAAGTTAGCGGGAAGTTCTTGGATGCCATGGCGGCGGAACGGGTTTTATTTTGGGGGCTAATTTCAGCCAAGTTGGGTACCGTAGTTTTCAGTTAAGAACAAGCACGACAGACAAAACATGATTGAATTCTCACAGCAGTAGCGTAACTTCATGAAAAATAAAGTTAGGTGGACTGAAAACTAGGGGAGTCCGAGTACAAGCTCCTTCGGACAGATTTGAAAAATCAAGGCTCGCATTTCTCCTGCACTTTCTGACACCGAATTGAAGAAATTGAACAACCGGAATTCTGCAAAGTTGCTTCATAATTGGTTTTAATCAGTTTGTATGACATGGTGGGGACTGGCGATTGAAAAACCTCACGCTTTGTAACCAAGACAAATACGACTTAATCTATTTTTAGCCCCGCCTTTCCCCCCATGGAAAACTTTAACGGCTTGGCCCGCACCCCCACTTTTACGTCTGGGGCTATATCCCTCTTCCCCCAATTCCGCCGCCTCTGCAATTATTAACGAAAATATCTCGATAACCGTTAATAACGTTGCCTGACGATGAAACAGCAATTTGGAATCGACGTCTTGCAAAATATGTCCCAGCATCTTAAACTACGTATACAGTAAACTGCTCTCGTTCCTAATTCACTGAACAACATAGATAACTGAGCCCCTTTATAGGCGTGAGATTCCTTGCCCGCCCACCATCTCCCTCCCCTCCCCTTTTCTGACTTTTCTGTGTGTGAACTGCGCAGCTTACTGTCTTTACCATCCAGATAATGATTTTGAGATCAGCTATAAGAACAGCATCTAACCTGCGAACGGGCATACTTTGGTTATGCTTTGGTTCGAAAAGCTGTCAAATAATAAAAATTTCTATGAAATTAGTAAATTCCCGATTGCTTTTCGTCGAAATGGGGTAGTAAAATTCCTCGAAATTGACAATTCTACAGAAGAATCGGCTAAATCGCTCTGTGTGCTTCCCGATTGAATTTTTGTGTTGAAATGGCAACAAACGGTCATTCAGGCTACCCACTGAAGTGGTTTAAAGATCAGAATGCTGCAAGACATGCTTGGGAGTGTGCTATTTGTTTGGAAGTTTTACAAGATCCCGTCCAAGTACGAGACTGTGGACATCAATTTTGTGCCCTTTGCATTGACGATATTCTCAAGTAAGTTTAACTTTCGGAAATATTTATTTCAAAATAGAGTGTTCCTACATGCCAATATGCATGGGTTGTAAATATAAACCCCTTAATGCCACCTTGCCTTCTTACGTTTCCTGGCAGGCAGAAGTTTTAAAAAAAGCTCTCAGAGACTCCCGTTGTTGATCACAAAATTTGCTTGCCAAGCAAACTGTAAACAAGGCAAGGGTATACAGAGGAGAGAATTATATCTCTTCTAGCTCTGTGGTATAACTGTTTTCAACATTGATTTTATAGTGCAATATTGTACTTCTGCGGATTCAGGTCACAAAATAGGAAAGTATAGCAGAAGTGTAACTTGAGTCCGTGCCTTTGTTGTTTTACGTCCACAAAAATTTTAACTCGCTCACACCAATCCACGCCATCCTAGCTAGTACAGCTAGCCGGACGTTTTTATCAGGTTTTGGTAGGTACAAAGTGCTGGTTTTACTAGCCAGGATGGCATGATTGATGACAAATCACTTGTAAAAACGCAGACAAATAGTTACTTGCTTTCAAGAGTGAGACTTCTGGTATACCTTCCTATTCTGTGTTCAGGTAGAGCGTTAAATATGCCAATAGTTGTCGCGTTAGTTTTAACAGTTGTACGTTGACATGTTGAAAACGTATTCTGTAACCAACATGATTTTGGCATCGAAGAGATGAAAATAGTCTTATGTTGTTGTGGTTGTTTGAGTTGGGAAAATATCGATATCGAAAAAAAGGCAAATATCGAGGAGATATTGTATCGAATGAAAAAGCTGGTATTGCCCATCCCTAACTTTCACAAATCTTCCCAAAGCGAAGAGCAATTTTATTGTTATTAGTTTGTAATATTATGATCACTGAGGGTATTCGCATGTGGTGTTTTGGTCTTTTTTGAATGCTGTTTGATTGTCTTATGATTGTGGGATGCACACTTTTCATATGATACGCACACTCATTCTTTTAGGCATGCGCATGCATAAACCAAATTTTATCCCACAATTGAAATGTTCAAGATTGCGGAATAAAAACTAGCAAAGTGATTGTTCGTATGTGTACGGGACGGTGTCGTCAGAGTCTAGCTCAGACACTGTCCATAGTTGTACTGATGATTTTCGATGATCGAGGTACAGCTCTCCAATGAAAGGTAATGAGGTGTGCTTTTGTCTTCTAAATTTCCCAGGGAATTTAGTAAAAGACAAAAGATTTCTTTGTCTGCTAATATTCCCAATGCATTCTTGGTGAGGGAAGTTTAGTAGACAAAGAAATCTTTTGTTTTTTACCAAATTTCTCAGGGAAATTTAGAGTAGACAAAGCGAAATATTCCCTGTTGCATGTGTAATGAGGAAAATACGGGATTTATATTCCCCTATGAAAACAACAGAAAACGAGGTGATCATGATATTATTAAAGTCGTTTTATAATGATTTTGTAGTGCAATATGGTAATAAATGTGTCTCATGCCAGCCACTGCGCAGTTTATACAATCATGCAAGTGAAAAAAGCAAAGCTGATCAAACAAGTACTGAAAAGTTTGGAAATTGCACACTCGAGATTTTAAAAATCTCACGATAAATATATAGAAAGCATCAAAATTGTACACCCGATATCCTGGTTGTATGCCATGCCTTTTTTGCTGGTAATTACCAAGAATAATTTACAGTTAACTCTGCAAGTGAAACGAGCAGCCAGAGCGGGTTTGGGACCGCATAGCTTGCAAGTTGCAACAGGGGACCGGGCCGCCGGGAGAAACTTTTTGAGAAATATTGGGTCTATGAGAAAGCCAATAATTTTGGCTAAACATATGTCTTGGAGCTGGACAGCTTGAGATTTGATAAATAAAATTTGGCCACAGAACAAGAAAATAGTCTTTGAAGATAGAAAAGAGATACATTAAATATGATTAGTAAATAATTTGCACAATGATGCTGGGGAAAATTGAAATTTCTATAATAATCACACTAGCATGCACACAGCCTTAAAGACCCAGGTTTACAGTTACATACAGGAAACACTGCAGTCACCTCGGACCCCAATTTCAGATACCCATGTGCGATACAAACTTTCCACACTGGATCAAACAGTGCTGGTATCACTGGGTATATGCTTGAAAGGTTGAGTGGCTGGTCAGTAGTCTGGGGCATCAGCAAACTAGTAGGCATGAACAAAAGTTCTGAAATTATAAAATCTACATTACTATTTCAATTAAGTACTGCAGTTAGTATATGTTTTTCCAAACTCATCAGAAGTTCCTTGAATGTTTGCATGTCAAAAAACAACATTAATATTTTCCAATGTGTGGAAAACACCACATACTGTACCAGGGATGGAAAAAATAGGCGAGCACTGCACTCGCAGGAAGTGTTAAACAGCTGCATGAAATTTGTTTGAATGAAAATTTGCTATTTAAACCCACTATGGGCACAACAACATATGGTTGACAGACATTATTCCTTGAATTAAAAACAATGGTCATGCAGCTATGTTTATGCACATTTAGCACAAAAATACACTGTTGGTCTGCAGGAAATTTTTGTCTCCAGGTTGTGCTCCCAGGAAGAAAATTATTTTTTCCTGCTCTGTACTGTACATTTATTAATGAGGAAGACCTAGCTATAGGCTTACAGATTGAGAGCTTTGAAATAATAAATATATGTGGTGTTTTCCACATTAAGCCAAAAGGATATTAATGTTCATCATAAGTTCATAACAAAATTAATTACAAAATAGAATTGAGTTTAATAAACCCTTAGGTGGCAATCTGCCCTGTCTAACAACAGACGATTTTACTCATTAAGGGGAGATTGCTGGCTCAATGGGTTAAGACAGCTATTTTAAATTAAAATATATATTTCAACAGGGCAGATCCTCGATGTCCATCTTGTCGAATTGAAATATCTGACGTAATGGTATGTTGTATATTAAATGAAATTTAGCATATTATTTTAAATGGCAGTTAGTGGTGGTGCCCTTTAATATGACCAAATAATTTCTAGATTTTTAAAGACCATGCTGCAAGAAGGTTGATCAAACAACTGGAAGTGAATTGTTGTAATGAAGGCTGTAGTTGGCAGGGGTGTCTGAGTACTCTTTTACAGGTACAGTACAATATTATATTTTGATCTTAACTCGTTAATTGACAGTACTCTCCCCTTAATTGATAAATACATGACAAAAGTATTCTGATTGAGTACAAATACAGTACCAAAAAATGTAATTCACTGCATAAAAAGTAATTGCATGGCAAATGCCCAAACAAAAGACATGTTGACCTAAGTTCTCACTTTTGACAATTCTGAACTTGTATTAAGTTATGCCATTCAAATAAGTGAATGAATTAAATATTTATTTTGCATGTGACTAGTACTAGGCTGGGGCGGTTCTTGAAAAAACCAAAACCGAAAACCGTCAGGAAAAAACAGGGAAAAAACGAAAAACCAATTTTTAATCTATAAGGGACCGGTCATAAAGTAACTGCTAGGGTGGGCTGGAGTGATTTGGGATGGGCCATGGAAAATCTTTGGACAGTTTCGATGGGCCGCCAAATTTTTTGTATGTCCGTGGTTGGGCCACCAAACAAAAACTCATGCACGTCTACTTCAAAAAATAAAGATATTAATAATAAAAGTAAACAAAACTATCCAAATTATCAAATGCAAATGATGCTATTGAAGCCAGTACTTTGTTTATACAACAACAAGAAGTGGTCGAATCACAGCAAATACAACCAACTGGAGAGCAGCCCAGTATCGTAATTAGTGTGAATGTGTTGGTCAAGCTTGGTGGAATTATGTATGTCAATACAGTGCCGGTCTATATTTACAACGTTCATACCTGCAAGGTTTTTTTTATTATAAAAGTGTATTTTCCCAATTTAGATCGGGTGGGTCATGAAAAATTTTTTGTAAGATTAAGATGGGCTTCGAAATTTTTATCTACATTCTA